GTCGTGGAGGGACGAGAAAAAGAAGCGAATCGATAAAAAAGAAGAGAAGAGAGGTCGTGCGAGGAATGCGATAAGTTTTATGTACAAGTATTTACATCTTTCCCCGAAGAAAGAAGTTAGATCGGCCGTAGTAAGGCCCGCTTCGTCGTCCTTCGTTTTCACGTCTTCTTCGTCCTACTCTTCGACGGACGTCGCGTCGAGACGCATCGTCGAGCGCGTCCTTTCCTGCTTCCAGGGTGCTCGCGATTTCCTCGAAACTGCCAAAAAAGTCCTGTCCTTGGTTCAAATACCCCAACATCACAGGAATCTTATCCCTGCGTATCCCTCTTGGACTTTCGAATCTTCCATAAACCTTGGAAAAATCTTGGACGAGTCTTCCGTAAATCTGTGTATACACGCCGAGCGTCGAGGACGAACGTGAGACACGCTTGCGGAACGCTGCCACAACGAGCCGAGTTCTCTCGATTCCGACTACTCTCCCCGAAAAAGACTCGACGTAGTTCTGCAACGTCGAAACACGACGGAGGTCAAGTGGTCAGGCCACGAGGACAAGAAGCTCGCAGCGACCTGGACCTCACTGGAGCTCGCTGCTCGCCGACACAGGTCACCGTTCCGCGACCATCCCGGTGACCGTGGTCGTCGCCGACGACGCGGTGGTGGTCGGCACGGTCGTCGCGGCGTTCAACAACGGCTGCAGAGGCTGCCTTTGCACGGTTTTCGCCACGGTGGAGGATTCGTGGTGCACGTTCGTCTCCTCGAGCGTCGTCTGCAGATCGCAGATATACTCGATCACCCTTTGGATAACCTCGAGCTTCGACAACTTCCGTTTCCTCGGCATGTCGGGCACCAGGGATCTCAGCTTCGTCAGGTAAGCGGCTACCTCTTCTGCTTCCAGGTCACGACGGGTTCCGTTGATCCCGAGGCTGTTGTGCAGGACACCTCGACTCGGCGGCACTCTGCCGCCCACCGGGCTCACCACCATCGCCTTCATGTCGTGCGCGTGTGTACGCGTTTTCCTCTCTGGTCGATTCTTGCTCGACGTCGACGACGCGCGCGCGAGTGTTTGTCCCTGCTGACGGACGGTACACAACACTGGGGCAAGCGACGAAAGAACAGATGTGGGTCGTCCGATTAATTCGATCAGACACACCTCCGAAACGTACGGGCTTATCTGTCGAACGCGGATGTACAACGCACCCCGTGTATTAATCGATCGATCGATCGGCCGATCGATCGATCGAGCCAACCCACAGTGGTAAGCGCACGAGATAGCGGTAGACGCTCGTACGGTCTCGTTCGGTATGTATATCTCGTTCCTCTGTCGGCTCCTGTCCACTTTGTACGTATACCGTTTCTCTTCTAGCTTCGCCAAGCTTTTACACGCCTTACGACACGACGAACGTCACACACAGTTTTTACGTTACGGGGTTGCGTGTTATCGCGAGCTGGTTACACACTCGCGTGGAACATCGTCTTCGAGACGAGAAATCTTCTCTGCTTCTCCGATGACTATATATTCCGGACGTAATCGGAGTGCGCAAGTAGAGAGCGTGCAGCGTACTCCTTTTGGCGTACACGTTACGCTCGACGGATCGAAGTCAACTGGCCTCCGCCCCTCACCTGCGCGCTTTTATAGCCTTCCCCCACCCAGCGCCCCTACCCGCGTTCTACCCGCGACGCCTCCACTACCCATACGGCGCAATCGCTGCCCGAATAAAATAGCGTTGGACTCGAATCGCTCACGAAACGGATTCTTATCTGCGACCTATTTATACGCATGCACTTTGGTAAATATTTATGTATACCGGTAATTTCTTCTTTCCATTCCGCTCTTTTGTCGTTCGATCGAGAAAGATGTACCAAGAAAAGCGATATTCGCGATCCGAGATAACGCGAAGATAATTTCGTTTGCGCTCTACTCGATCGCTTGACTTATTCGTCGGTACACGCGAACTCCACGTCGATTTCTGTAAAAAAATTATTTCATTGCGGGACGAAATCCAATAGACCGTCTCATCGACGTTTTATTCTCGACATTCCTATTTTTTCGCGTATTTATAATACTTGCAAACGCGAACGCTATTAGAACGACCAAGAAAATAATTAGGAACTGCTTCAGCGAAATCCTCGAGAGATCCTAAATCGTTACGGGACTTACCAAAATATTACTAGCAAAATTTGTCTCATAAATCCCTTCTACGAACTCTACGTACATATTTACGTATTCGAACATTTCCAGTCACCGAAACCCCGCGATTATCCCGACACGTTTCTTTTTTTTATCGTTAAAAAAAAAAAAAATTGAAAATGCTCCATCTCTGCCAAAGCTAGAAAACTCCGAAACCATCGATCCCGTTCTTCCAAAGGAACCCCCTTGTCCGGCCACCCCCCCGTCCACCTGCGTCTTCCATTCACGACCCGGCTAACCGAGCTGGAAGCGAAAAAGGACGACGACGCGAGATAAAGGAGAAAAAGCGAGGGAGAAACGCGACCGGGGCCGATCCACGTTCGTCGTGTCCCGTCAGAGCCGGTATCGTCAGAGCCAAGTAGCGAAGAATACGTAGTCGGAGAGCGGAAAGGCGCGAGCAGGAACGCCGGCAGGAATTGCCGTTGCGACGCCTGGCTATCGCCATCTCCGTCATCTCATCCCGGCCATACGGGCTTGTTCGAGAGAAAATGCGTTCGGCTCGAAGCCGACCGTAGTCGGGGGTGTTTGACGACCATGGGGGACCAGAGGCGTCGGCGGGACAAGCCGGGCGTGGAAGAGAAGGGCGACGCCGCTAAAGCTAAAGCTGCCCACGGCGAGAGGGACACGGGCGACGGTGGCGCTCGAGGGGAGGGGGTAACGGCAGAGGAGTAGGGTCGCGCGGAGCGGGGAGGGGTGCGCGCTATGGGTTCGAGGCGCGGGTGGAGGGGTGGCGGCCGCTAGGCTGCGCGCGGCAGCGGGGGGTGGGGGAAGGGAGACACGACCATTGTTGAACGTCCGGCGGCGCCAGCCACTAGCCATCACGGCTACCACCACAACGGTCTCGTCGCACTACCACCATGACCGGCGCGACACAACCACCGTACCCGTGCATGCTGCTCATGGTTTCGCGAGCTCTCGCGGCACCGTGCACCGCCAACCTGTACACCATGATTCCGGCTACGGTTCTCTTTGCATATACGTACGTACGCGCGTGGTATGCGTATGCCCGCGTATGCACATGTGCGCGTATGCATGCATGCCGAGGTGCCCAGCGCCCGAGACTCTTTTGCCTTCTTCGCTTCGCTCGCGCGGTCTTCTTCCGTCGCGACAGCCGCCCGGTTCGTCGACTCGCTCGCTCCTCGTGACTCTCTGGTTACTCCGGCGTCTCGTTACCGGTCGCCGGGACAAGAACCCACCCGATGTCCGGCGCTACGGACACACGGACGAGGGAGTAGTCCTTTATTATGCGCTACGCTTCGGTACGAGTATGTCTCCCCGGAGACGACCGGGGAAAATTGCGTTCGCGGAGTTTGGCAGATATTTCCCATTCGCCAAGTGGTTCGCGCGGTGTATACAGCCAGATGTATGGTAACCCGTAAAATCGATCCAGTCTCCAAGTACCAGTGTTTCGACTTCCGAAATATGTAGTATAGCGAGACGAGAAGAGATTTAGAAATAGATGCAGCCGTGAGATGAATTTTTAATTAGATAGATATACCTAACATAGACATTTATGCAGCATGTATTTCTTTTCGACGTTCCACCCTCGTATCGCGATAAAAAATTTCTGTATTCGAGTAACCGGTCGCGTGTATAATTAAAATTTGCATAATCGACCAGCTACTGTATCGTCAACGATAGTTCACAGGAAGGTCAAAGTCCTGTTAAACGGTCGAAATATCGAAAAGAATCTAGTAGTCGTAAATTGATAGCAAGTGGTCGTTAACGATCTAAATCGGGATTCTGAGTTAATCGACAATTTTTTCCAGTTTACTTCTCGATTGTACTCTCGTACCACCAGACTATCCCAAGTTTTGGCAATGTCGTCGACGGTGTGCGATTTTCCTGTCAATGGAAGTCGTCGTTTAACGCGATAATTTACGAGCACGTTGTACCATGTAGTCGACATAGGTAGAAATAGTGGAGAGACTATGGGAAAAGCGAGCGAAAAGTGGAGGGGAAGATTGGCGAGGAAAAGCTGGAAATGTAACGGTTAGTATGAACAGAGATTTTTTGCGAGATCGTATCGAGCAGTGATATAGGTCGATACAAGTATGTTAGGTACACGTGCACTTGAACACAATTTGCCGTGGGTCAACTCGTGGTTATGTTTATGAACGTTGCCCGGTGTCCGTGCAAAGTCCACGACGGAGAAGAAACGAAAGAACCCGGGGTTCCACGAGAAACAGACCGTGAAGCAAAGTTCAGCTTCGTTTTTCGAGCCGGTTATTTCAGAATTTGGTTAGGTGGCAGGAGTACCCATAGAATCTGGTCGCCTGTATTTTTCCCATCCGCGAATATTAAAGTATCTCGACCTCTCTTCGTTGCAGTCTAATCGGGACAAAATTCAGATCTCGTCGATCTTTTCCAGGGGTCTGGAACGTTTTCCAATCGCAATTGAACGTTGCCAGAAAAGTGGGTAATGCTGACAAAATTTTGGGACAACCGTGTTATCGAATACGATTCACGTCGTACGAGGTATCTCGAAATTTATCGAGTACACTTACACTCGAGTGCTCCCGTACTTCATCGTGCACTCAAAATTCCCAATCTCGAAACCGAGTCCTCACCTCATCGCGAGCTTTGGTCTCGTCCTTCCAGACCGAGTCGCGGTGCTTCTTTAGCGAAGCTACCAGCTATGAAACGTCTGTGTAATTACTATTACTAATTACGCGAGTGTGTTCTGTTTCAGGGAGAAGCTGAAAATTCTGCAGATGGTAGATAAGGTTATCTACGTATGGAGGAAAGATGGGATCTTGGCGGGGAGCAGCGCGAAGCTGGAGATTCTTCGTCCGGTTCGATGTCTAACGAGGAAGATGAGACGAACAGCGTCCGGCGTGCAGACTCTATGGCCTTTGTCGAAGGTTGGACGGATTGGAGGAGGTGAGATGAAACGTAAGAGAAAGAGAAAAGGCGTGCACCGTTGTGGCAGGTAAAATAATAAGCTTATGCACCGCGGAGAAGTACACGGCGAGCGTATAAAGCGGTGGGACGCGGCGAGATGCGAGCGTGATAATCGAGAACGCAAAGCGTAACGGAGCGCGCCTCATTGCGCGTGAAATCCCGTCGTGATAAAGATTTTAGATACCGTGGAATAGTTGGCCGAGTTGGAAACCGCGATTTTCCGTCTGGCTAAAAGCGGAGGCGTGAGTCGAGCAGAGAATATGATCGGGGAGGAAGAGGACAGGAGTATAACGGGAAACGTGGAAGAAATACGTAATTCGCGAGCTTTTGCTAATCGAGAAATTACGAGGAACGTGCGCCGGATGTCCCGTTTAGCTGTCAGCCGAGTGCGAAACGAGCGAAAAAGGAGTAACGAGGAGAAATAGGAAATGATGTGGTAATAATAATCGTGGATGCAATTAAACCGTTAAGTAGCATGTAAGACGCTATGACGTCTTGACGTGGTAACGCGGTGAAACGTAGAGGTATACTCCAGGCTCTAAGTAGATATTTTAGGTCATTATTGCTGAAAATTGCGCAAATGCAATATTTTGCAACTTCGTAATCGCCATGTCAACTATCTTTTTCGTGCCATTGAAGTTGGAGACATAGGAAGGAATAAACAATTCAATTTGCAATTTAAAAATTGCTCTATTCTTGTGCTTGGTGCTTAATTGGCCATAGGTAACGTGTATCGTGGTAGCGTGGAAAGTGTCGGATGACTGACGCGGAATAATTATCCTGCATTTTTTAGTTTTTATAAAACTGTGCTAGGAAGGAAGAGATTTTGCACCAGGTCAGAGTAAGGAAACGCTAGTCTGCACGGCGATAAAAATATATATGAAACTTTAAAAAATACATATGAAAAGCTGCGGAAAGTTTAGCCAAGGTTTTACGCGCCGTAAAAAAGAAATTTTATTTCTCTCTCGATAATTTTTCTTTTACGATTTTTAACGCGATTTTATTCCGAGGAGAAATTCAACGAAATCATGCGCGGAAATTGTGTCGCGTGACGAAACTATTGAATATTTCAGTTTCAACTTTAACGCGATTATACATTCAGTGGACCTTTAATCGGAAAACTCTGAATAGAATCCTCCACTCCTCTCCCCTTGTCTAAAACTGAGCCAAGAACCGCCATAGGGATGAAAAATGACTCGTTCCAGGCATTTGATTATTTTTGCAATTTTTGCAGACGTATAGCCACTTTCGATAAAATTAATATTAGTCTTGGTTCTAACAGAAACGTAATTACGAATAATTATACATCATCGCGCCACAATAATTATTATCATTTGCGTTTGATCTAGTTAGCGATTTAGTCACTCGTCGATACCTAACAGGATGACAACCATAGCCATCGCACGTAGATTCTTCGCGATTGCAGCCAAGAAATGTAGGAAAAAGTCACATCGGATCGATAGGACTAGATCTTTGTGCTTCCTTGCTCGCATACGCTTACTTAGATGCTATCGGCCATTT